ACCCATCGACAATTATGCAGACTTATACGACGCTTCACGAAGCAACATAGCTGTACAAGCATCTGCAGACGAATTCAACGAGGAACTGCGAGAATTAAAGCAAAACAACACCGAAAGCGTACAAAACTTTAACATACGTTTTCGACGCATATTGAATAAATTCACTTACGCTATTACTAACAAATACCCGCAAACTATAACAAGACGAGTAATGATGGAAGCCACGATGAAACGCGTGACGAAGATTTACATTAACGGACTAAAGAGAGAAATCAGCCATATGATACTTACCAGTAAATCAAACACACTTGTTGAAGCCGAAAATGAACGGGAAATAAGAAGATTTGACGAACAAACAAAGCCGATGCAACGCCCTATCGAGCGACAAGCTATACAACCAGCACCGCGACCAACACCGACCGCTGCAAGATCAGACGTTTACCGACAGATAGAACGCCAACCTCTAGCACAAAGAGCTCAACTAAAGTGTTTGAAATGTGGAAAAATCGGACATAGCGCAAACCAATGCGAAAATTTTCGAAGTCCCGGCCAACAAAACAAGCCACCACCGAGAATAAACAACACGACACTGAAAGAATCAGACTCAACGCAACCACAGGAGAATAACTCCACCAACTACCTACAATTCAACACGGAGGAAGAACATACCTCGTAGATAGCGGATCACAAATCAACCTCATTAAACATGGAACTCTACGAAGAGAACCAATGAAGAGTACCAATGAAGAAATTTGACATGGATCACAGCAAATTCGACACCAACACGTTCATAAAAATATTCGAGAAAGACATAAAATTTTACGTAGTACCTAATGACTTTCCAATAATCGAAGACGGAATAATTGGACTACCATGTCTAAAAGAGTTTCAATTCGAACTTTCCAACGATAAATTAAAATTAGATAATCACACTATACTGTTACAGAATAACCCAAGTGTCCAACCAAGCCAAACGCTTGAACGAACTGTATACCTGGAGATTAAACCGACACGAGTATGCTTTATCAATGGTGGTAAGTCCACACTACAAATTTCTAACCATATTGAACAATCCAATAAATATGAACAAATCGCGACATTCAAAGAATTAGTAAGACTAAAACACGTAGAACGTAGCCTCAGGGAACCAATCGAGAAGCTTTTATTATTCTATCTCGATGTATTCAATCTCGAAACCGAATTATTACCATGCACCAATTTAGCAGAACATACCATTACTCTGAAAGAAAAAAAAAATCATCAATACCAAATCCTATCGACCTCCCGAATGCCACAAAGACAAAATCAACCGACAAATGAAAGACATTTTAGACAAAAAGGTTATCGAACCTTCCGATTTACCTTACAATTCACCGTATGGGTAATACCGAAGAAAGCAGACGCATCTGGAAAACAAAAATGGAGAATAGTCATTGACTTTGGGAAACTAAACGAATTGACAGATTAAGACGCTTACCCACTACCTGGCATAGACGATATACTTTCACAGTTAGGAAACGCAAAATTCTTCTCAGCATTAAACCTTTCCTCAGGATTTCATCATATACCAATGCATCCAGACTCAAAGAAATACACAGCATTTAGTACACCTCAGGGACATTACCATTACAACAGAATGCCATTTAGATTAAAAAACGCCCCAGCCACATTTCAACGAATGATGGACAGCACTTAGAGGACTTATTAACAAGCATTGCTTTGTATATTTGGACGACATAATAATTTTCGGACAATCAATCGAAGAACACAATAATAATAATGCCATCGTACTGCAACGACTCCACAACTTGGACTAAAGATACAACCTGACAAATGCGAATTTTTGAAACCAGAGTTAGAATATTTAGGACATATCGTAACAGCAGAAAGAGTGAAACCAAATCCTAAAAAGATAGAAGCAGTAGAAAAATTTAAGAGACCGACCAATCTTACGGAAATAAAATCTTTCCTTGGACTAGCTTATATCCCCTCATCACGACTAATGAGATGGAGACTATGACGATAAATCGAATACACAAAAGGTAAGGACAATACAGCAGCAAACACATCATCAAGAATTCATGCAACAACCGAACGAAAAAATACTGAACAGAACGATACCATAAATCTTGAAAAAGAATTTACCGAATGGGAACAGTCGGACGAAATACCGAAACGATTAAAAATACCCAACAGAAAGAACTTCTTTCAACTAACAAAAGGAGAAATGGAAAGTTACGACAAACTCAAATGGTTACAAAAACTTCACGGAATCATTCAAACCACAGACAATATTGGAATGGAGACGATAACTTTACTGAAATAGAGAAAAACCCCATGAAGATAATGCCAATGAACTTCAACGACAAAATAAAAGAAATCACTTTTGCTTGGGAACCAGTTCAGGAATACAACGAAGAAGAAATTGAAGAAATTTTAAGCGAAAACCACGACAAAATAGGACACCTTGGAATACAGAAAACGTACGAACGC